GAACCAACATTTTTATAATCACTTTCCAGATTATTCCACAATCTTACGCCTTGAACTGAAGCACATCAATCCTTCAAATTTGTTTGAATTTTAGGTTTTATAAACATCTCAAGTCCCTTAAGAAACTTTCTCTCTTAACAAAATGTAACTGGATGTTTAAAGGTAAAATTTTTTTTACGAGCCTTATACAAAATCTGCAAGATATTATAATCAACCAACTCATAAAATTTTAATAATTTCAATTCACAAAATAATATATTCGACAGTAATGTTTTCTGATGATAATTCTAATGGCTCTTTTCTGTCAAATACAAACAGGATTTGTAATTGTTTTGCATGCTTTACCCCAGACTTCAACACAGTACGTCAAGTGTGGAACAATTATTGCATTGTATAATATAAACAGTACTTTATCATTAAATAAATAATAAAGTAAATATAGAAATATTTTTTACTGGTTTTCTTAAATCGTTTCTAATCAGCTTTACATGATCTCTTTCTAAACGCACAGATTCATCCTTAAATTGTTTGGTTTGATATTTTTGAAAAATTTTCCCCCCAACTATATTCTGTTGTGTTGTTGCTATACTGTCCTAATTACAAATGCTACGCTGTTAGGCAGAGGAGCTGCATGCAGCACCATAAGAGAAAGTGAAGCTAGTGTTCTCCTTACAGGTTTCATTTGATAATAAATGACCTTTCTCCACTAAAAGATGACATCATCCTCAGTAATTGTGGTGCCAAAAGCACAACACTGCAAGAGTAGCTCAATCGATCAATGTGATTCTCTGGAGGTTTCTGTTGTTAAAATGCTCCACTTTGTGGGATTGAGAAAGCTTCTCTTTGACTTTTCTCTGTAGACTGTAGTTTGTCTGATTATACCGATTACTGGGATTTGAATGCTTAGACTGTTCTGTAATGATTTTATTGTAAATTGTCCCAGTTGGCCTGCAATCATTAATTCTGAATAACCTTAGAGTCAGTATATTTAACATTGCAAATAGCTCTGGTTGATTGCCTAACGTCAGTATTAAAAGGAGAATTTGATTGCTGAATTGATATTCATGTTTGCATAACAATTTTTTCTAAAGTCCATTAGTTATTATCTATAAAATGTATATTTTAAAGCACAAATTCTTTATGTTTACTTTGACACAAGCACTACAACCCTTTACTTTTTTGGACAGTAAAGCTCAAATTTAAACAACTAACTTCAGGACATTATTCAGACTTAATCCAACTTACTGTTAAAATTAGCAGAAAGTAATGTGTGAGCATGTCTTAATAACATTTGACAATTAACTGCTTTTTTTAGGCATTGACGTCTTGTGTGTGTGGCCACAAAGAGAAACAGCACAGGGTTGGGCAGTAATATGATAATCTAGTATCTCGGGAGTACAGTACTTTCTTGTAGAAGAATGAACAGAAGCAGAGCTGACTGGTTATAAAGACAGTCATTTCCTTTTATTAGAAATGTGTTTGTTTATATAGTTTATCTGAATATTAAGTAAATTAACTGACTACTTTTATTCTGCACATGATTAAGTCGTGAATTTATTTTTATTTAAATCTGTTGTAAGTGTAACATGGCATTGTTACACTGTTTTTGGATTTGAAGGGATCGCACAGAGATGAGCATCTTCTCGTGTTTGCTCTAAAATAACTAAACATAGAGGCATGGATCCTTAATAAAAGCAAATGTCTGCAGACAGTGCTGACGTTACCAAAACGAAAAACCGTGGCCACACAGTGTGGTGACTCATAGTCATCCTCTTCCCGCTAAACAGTGGAGTGACATCACATTGCCAAGCTTTATAAAGAGTTATTGCAAGCAAGCTTATTGCTGTTTATATTGTTTTTCTAATGGCTGTATGATGCTTTGTACTCACTTCATGATAGTGCAGTAAAATTATATTGTAATGGTTTCACAACAAACACATTCTGCTTTTCAGTTAGTTAAAAGCACGTTCCATGGCTTTTTCCTGTCTGTTTACCACTTATGAGTAGTTTTAGTCATGCTGAAAATAGTTTTTTTTCTCTTCTTCTTTTTGTGACAGTCCTAGGATTTGAACCTGCAACCATTCATTCACAAGCTTGCCTGCTCAAGCCTCTGTCCCACCACTCCCCTCATATGGAATGCATGTGGGAAAGAAAAATGCATATAAAGCTGACAGAAACTAATTTTGTTTCTAGCAAAAATGTAGAAGACAATATAAAAACACACACACACCCTGTACTAATAAAAATACTTTGTTTTATTATCTTACAACAAGCAGTTTATATTCACAGAAAACAGAATATTTTATAAGAAGCTCATGTTTTAGAGTAAAAACTATCATGAAATGTATAAACTAACAGTTTGTTCAACAGTTTGTGTCCTTTTGTTTGACCGGGTTAGACAGGAGAAAAATTTTTAACTCGGCTTTTTAATAAAATTTTTTCTGAATATAAAATATTAAGTCAAATGTCAACTGCCATTAAATAAAAGTTCATTGGGTTGGCAATCGGACACTTGGTTCTCAGGGGAGTTCTTACAGTAGATGCAACATTTCTTGGACATGCATGTGTGAGTGTTTGTGGTGAGGACCAAACTTTTTTGCCTCAAAGAGTAGCCAGATAAGTTTTAAAATAACTGCCTGAGTCATGAGCGGTGAAGAGACACTACTCAAACTTATCTAATGCTTCCTGTCATCAAACCAATTATTTCAAAATATGATTAATGGTTTTTGATAGTGTTACGAGGTTAGAAATTGAACATGCTTGTGGTCAATTTCTCACTGGCCTCTTCCTCTGCTTTCTTCCAGGCTGAGAGTCTAGATGGAGCTCTCTTTGTGCCCGATATCAAACTACACAGCAACCCATCCGCGTTCAATGTTTACTGCAACGTGCGGCACTGTGTGCTGGATTGGCAGCAGAAAGAGGCCTCCCTCGCATTGGCCTCCAGGACCTCGGTGCAAAGCGGCGACTCGGACAGCGAGGAGGAGGAGGAGTACCGCGAGCCAGCTGTGAAGCTTCCAAAGGTAGGACCAGAGCTTTATTATGTGAACGTGGTATTTGCAGTTCTTGGTTTTATGGCAAAACCCAAATTGTTGTTTCAGGGCATTTTTTTTTTCCTCGACATGCCTCCATTTAAATATGCAAATAGATGTAAAGATTCCCTTCCATGTGTTTCTCTTCTCTGCATGATCAATAAACAAGTCTAAACCTGTCAACTATTATTTTAAACTTGACAAGTAGGTAGATTTTATGTACAAAACCTCACTCTCGTCAGTGTTGGACGATATTTACACATATTGTACATAGTATTACTGTAAATTAATGCAAAAGTATGCCTAAGAGAAGATGAAGTTGAGGAGTTTCAAACTTTATATGTATTTGCTTATACACAGAGACACTGAGAAGCCTGGTAAAATGCCCTGAATCCATAGTTTACTAGGCATAAAACAGGAAGTCACTCACCTGAACCACAGACTGGTAATGATATGAAGACAGAATGAAGGTTGGACTTCAGGGGGATAATATTCGGACAGTTAACTACATTTACTCACCAAAGAAGCCACCAATCCTGCATCGTTCTAGCCCTTTATCTGTTCCCAGCCATGCTGTTCATTAGAAGTAAGATGAACCAGGCCGCCTTGGCGAAGTGTCGGTTAGTTACCTTTGTGCATCACATATATTTTGTGTATTGATTGAATGAACATGCTTCCAGTTAACAAAACGTTTTTTCCTGTGACGGTGCATTTAGAGCAATGGGTGAGAGTCGTTGGATCCAATTACATTAGGAAAACAGTCTCGCTGCAAATTGTGCATTGTATAGGAATTTGATATACCTGGCTGATGTATGGATAGTTGTATCTCACACATGGCCCGATTGGTCTGCCAGCAAACTCTGAAATGCCCCTGTTGCTACAGGAACCCAAATGTAGTTGAAAGCCGTGTATGGCAAGCCAATATTGAGGAGCAATKCCATGCTTCAAGACTGGCTTTATTTCCACCACAGTATCAACAGACCTGCCCATGAAAACCTTAAGTAACCCAATAGCCAGTCGACATCTTAGGCCAGAAAAATCCCTTGATCTTTAAATACCTCCTGAACCATTTTCAGTATCTTCTAATAAAGCTAAAGCTATTGTTATGAAAGATACTTTGTGCATGTTTTAATTGCAAACACGTGAATGTAATGAGCTAATTGTTCATCGATGCGTCTTTGGTCTGCAAAGTCAGTGTTTCTCAGCAGATCCTCTAAGTTAGTGGAGAAATATGCTTCAGTCAGTCACTTATAATCTTTTCATTGTTGATAAATCTAGGAGTTTGTGCAGAAAAAGATGCATGCTACATTTCCAGAAGTCATGATGTGGACAAACGGTGTCCCCTGTGTAGGTTCTTGACTAAATCAAAAGACTTTAGTGAGAATGAGAGGCCTGGACTTCTTGGCCTTCCATGGCATTATTAGTGTTGAATGAGACAGGGCAGTTTACTAAGAATTTGCACCGATCACAAAGTCTACATTAAATTAAAATTAGTACAGTTTGTTTTCCAGGCTCAGTATTAAAGTTGCACCAAAGCGCACGAAGACAGAGTTATAGATAACTTGTCACAGAATAATATTTTGAGAAGAGACATTGTAAATGAATCGCAAAATTGTTTTTAATTAAGTTCATACCACTTAATTTTACTGCCAACAAAAGCCTCTTGTGCTTGAAAAGACTGATGTGTTGGTCCGAGGATTCACAGATGTGGTGCAACACCATTAGTAGGAGTGTGTGTAAAGAGATTTTCTGTTTGTGTTTAGGGTGCCAAAAAAGACTTTATCAGAATGATTGTGAGGTCAAGTTATCTTTAGACTTCTGGAGAAAATTCAAGCTGATCTCACGGTTCTTATGGAAAGAACAGCAAAACCTCCAATGTTAAGTTATTAGAGGTCATTTTGTTTTTGTCTTTTGTTTTAATAGACCAATCTTAATTTGTTGCCAGGATCTTGATGTCTTAGTTCTTAAATACATTGTTCCCACTTGTAACATCACCAAACGATCAAGACATATTGACAACCTTTTTTTTCAACCCAAGTAGTTAAATAGTCTTTTTATTTTAACAAGTGAGCTTTTGATAAATTCCAAAGCATAAAAATATTTAATCTTTTATATCATGTCACAAGACGGAAAATGCATAATTTGTGAATTCTTTTATTAATATTTATTAATTTAATTTATCAAGCCAGTTCCAGTTTTGAAATCTGACTTGTAGAACTTGACTCCCTGTGAAGGATAATTTTTTGTCCTTTTTTTAGTAAATATGATCCTAAATAACTAGCCCTCACGCTATATTGCCTTATATGTATTAGCTCAGCGCTAGCGCGACAAACAAGCTGAACTGAGGTCCTCCATCCATATTTTCAGTTGCAGACTGAGTCATTTTTGCGTTCCCCTCTCTGTCATGCGGATGGAGGACCTCAGTGACGAGAGGAGAATGTGTAGCGCTGAGCTAATACATATGTATGGTGATAGCATCGGGGCTAATGCTAAAGCTAACAGGCTAAGCTGAGTTTCTTCTTCCATGAAGCAGCTCTGTTGTCCTCCATCTATATTTTCAATTACAGACTGAGTCATTTCTATCTTCTCCTCTTTGTCAACGCTCTCTGGTTTCATTTAAAAGAGTCGATCATCAAATATTGTCCAAGATTAACCTTCAGGGTGGATATAGCTCGCTAGCAGCCTCGCACCGATGACCTAGTTGATATCAATTTCCCAGAATGCTTTGTGTGTAAATAAAATGGCCCCGTCCGTGTAATATATTTCTAAACTTTTAGTTTAAAAATTATAAAAACTAAACGGCCTACAGTATTTTTACAGTCTTTATTTTACAGTAAAGTATATGTTTATCATATCACGGTTCCCTGAAGGAATGGAACGAAGTACAACACACAGTTGTATATGGGACACGCGCGCCCTCGTGCGCCTGGCTGAAGCCACCTCTAATCACGTTTTTAGACCGGTGATGTTGTGATGTTGAATGTCGGGTGACAGGCTCCGCCTTCACCCTATAAGTTCGGAGTCACCAGCATCATTACTCAGTTGGATACCGCCCTTCACCGAGCCTTTTGTGATGCGGGGCCAACAAGGTGTTGTACTTTGTTCCATTCCTTCAAGGAACTGTGGTTATATTCATAACCTTATGTTCCTTTTCAGTCATTTCACTCAGTACAACACACAGTTGTGGGACTTGTCAAAGCTCCCCGCAGAGCAGTATCAGACCTGAGTTAAGTAGTGTGCCTGAGTAGGTACTGTACTAATGCAGAGCTTTTGACCCGGCAGAAAGTACAGAATGAGCCACCGAAGGTGCTGTTACATCCAGGCTGTAAAATCRTGCAAATGTGTTTGGTGAGGCCCAGCTGGCCACGGCACAAATGTCACTCACAGGTTTCCCTTTAAAAAGGGCCCAAGATGTCGCTACACCCCTGGTCGAGTGAGCTTTAACTCCAAGAGTGATTGGAAAGTTTTTGCTGCTATATGCTAGCAAGATGGCCTCCACAATCCAGTGAGAGAGTCTTTGTCTAGAAAGAGCTTTACCTCTGTGTGGGTTAGCAACAGCCACAAACAGCTGATCACATGACCTTACATCCGGTGTGCGGCTGATGTAAGTGCGTAGAGCACGTATGAGGCACAGAAGATGCAGCCTCTTTTGCTCCTCAGATGCAAAAGGGGGGGTGGGGGCGATGAAAGCTGGAAAGCTCTAGAGACATTAAGGGTGCGCGATATGATCAAAATTTTATATCACGGTATTTTCAACATTTTCACCGGTTTCACGGTATTTGACGTTATTTTTCTTTTCATCACAGCTCAGCTGATAATAAAATGTACAAACCCTGCTCATACAGGTGCTGGTCATAAAATTAGAATATCATGAAAAAGTAGATTTATTTCAGTAATTCCATTTAAAAAGTGAAACTTGTATATTACAGTGGTTTGCAAAAGTATTCATACCCCTTGAACTTTTCCATATTTTGTCACATTACAACCACAAACATAAATATATTTCACTGGAAT